CATTCACGTGTTGTTACTAATGAGATACTGTTCAGTTATGAATCCATGAATTATCATATCTAATTATTACTCTGTTTTCAATCTATTGTTGTGCTTACAAGATGTTGATCTGTTATTTGTAAGCAGTGTTGCTAAAAAGGCTCAACAGTATTCGCTGACCTGGTGATGAAAACGATGGCGTCATATTCGATGAAGACAATGCCGGACCATCCACTGCGACTCCATTCGAAGATTGTTTCTCGCTGAAATACCAACTTAATCAAATCCCACAAATTCTTATCCTTGATCGAAATCAAGCGATGAAGTTTTCTTTGGGGGCACACTGTTATCATCGTCAATTGAGCATTCATTTTGGTATTCAATCAAACGATTTTCGAACATATATATTCCAAAGAAAGAAATTGTATTCGCTTGTTTAACATTTCGGGAAATAAGAGACTATTGGTCGCGACAGATCAAAGCCAATCATCTGATGATCCATTTCTTGCTGTCAAAGATTATAAATATCACCGAAAATCTTTAAAGACGTCGCCCACTCACTCGAATACACTTCCAGAACTCTCGTCTTGAGCAGCGTATCTGCTTTTCAGACGTGACATTAAAACGAACTGTCAACAGCACAGTGACAGTACACGAATGTCAAATGCACTTAAATGGTTGCAACAAAGCAATTAACACACGAATATTTCAGTTATGCAAATGATGTTTGCTTGAAACATTTCAATTTTTTTTTAAATTGAACATTCCGTCGAGAAAAGTCGTTGCCAGAATTTGCTAAAATTTTGAAACACTAACAAGCAGTCATCAATATGTTTTTATACAATATAATACAATGCATTTTTGGTTTCGCTTCAAGCCGCTCTCGCTGGGAGTTAAAAAGTGGACTGGGCAAATAGATCGATAGTCCCCAAATTATCAACTAGACTGTGGAGGTGGGATTCAAGGAAGCAAATCAAACGTACCAGGTCGTCAAACACGATTATCTCCTATGAAGAAGGCG